GTGCTTCGGATGTACGAGAGTCTCGCTTTTCCTCCCTTGGCTTAGCCTCAATGAATTTTGAAAGACTACAAAATACTGTCCTGCTATATAGAGTGATTTTTTCCCGTTTCTCTTCCTGCGGAAATCGGGAACAATATTAAAAAAAGATGTTCCCGAAAATCGTTTTGTTTTATGTATATGCTCTGCAAATTGTGCTCTTTCAAGCAAAAAATGTCGAAATCAATTTAGTGTTACATTGTTGAGAAATATTAAATTTCGATATTTTTTCAAAGACCTTTGCATCGCTTATTAATTAAAGAAAAATAAAAATTACCTGTCAACAAAAACCTAAATAACTTTTGATGTGTTTTTCGATAATCAACCAATAGAAAGCTAGAAAGAATCTCTTTGATAGCTCAGAAAGTAGTATGGTCGGACATTACTCATATAAAAGATTAACGATTCTGTGCAAAATCTTGAAGAAATTTCTTAACGAACTTAAAAATTTCTAGGTGGCCTCAGTCCCCCTGCGGCACCACTACTACTTTCTTTTTCAATTGCCTTACTAACATATGTTAGCAAGACGATTGAAAATAGATGAAAGAAAAAAGACCGCCCTTAACAACAAACAATATAGTCAGTGGCCATTTTTTTATACATATTCGTGGCTAACAAGCGAATTGGGAATAAGGCCCATTAAGGGCGACAAATAACAAATAATAGTTACACATTAATATAACCAATTATATACCATGCTTTGTGATGAGAATATAAAAAACATGATAAGTATACGTCTCCCTGCAGAATATCGAAGTGATCTTTTTTGAGATTTTGAATTGATATTCGTGCACTATGACAGTTTAATCGAACTAGGTCATACAAAATTTTTATCTCTTTTATTTTTTAACGATCAGATTTTGTAAATTTTCACATATTGGTGTTGATTAAAATTACATTGACAATTTTTTTTTAAATTTATGTATATTCAACAAGAACATTTAAAATAGATTGATATAAAGTATTAACTAGAGCGTAGCGTACGATTTTCATTGTAGGTCAATTTACGAAACAATTACAAACATCATGGATTACATTTTCTTTTTGCTATGTCATTGCGTACTAAGAACATACAAAACTTGTGACTTGTTTATTATATTGAATATATATAAATATGCATGTACAATTTATCAACGAACAAATATTATTTGTACAGAATAAATGGGTCAATTATCGGAAGATTCAAATGAAAAAATCGAATCGGATATAAAATTCTGGTACAAAAAATTCAATCGAATATGGAAACGAACTAATTGGATTTTCTCAATGCTAGGTTCAACAGAAGATTCTTATAAACAACCAATTAAATTTCGATTACCAATAATATTTTATCTTGGTCATTTACCATGTTTTACTTGGGCACAATTTCATCATTTGAATGATGTAAATGATATCATTGATCAAACATTCGATAAACTCTTTTTACATGATGTTGAAACAGGTATTGTTAAACATAGTCAATCGAATCAATTCTCAACTGATATCAAAGTCAAAGAGGAATATTGGCGATCATTTACTATTCAAAGTGTAATTGATTATAAGAATAACGTTCGAATAAAATTGATCAATATTTTAACAAATGGTCAATTGAATTTCAATGATATAGACACATTAAATGTACTCAATATTAGTGCTGAATATGAAATGTTACATCAAGAAATATTAATGCACTTATTTGTTCAATTACCAATAGAATCACTTCGATTAAATTATATTAATGAATATGATTTTGTTCAACATAATACCATTTCTTCATTACCAAATAATACATGGATAATGTTTCCCGGTGGACAAGCATTACTCGGTAAACCATATAGTAATGAAATATCAACGTTTACATTTGGTTGGGATAATGAATTTCCATGTGAATCTATTTATGTATCAATTTTTGAAATGCAATCACATCCGATTCGCAATGGAGATTTTCTTCAATTTATTCTTGACAATGGTTATACAACAAGTGATTGGTGGGATGAAAATAGATTTATTTGGATAACAAAATCAGATATTCGTCATCCTTCAACATGGATAATACATGAAAATTCTTATCAAATTAATTTTGTATTACAACGTAATATTCTAATTGAATGTGTACTTGATCATCTTGTTCTTGTAAGTCATGTAGAAGCAAAAGCTTATTGCCGATGGTTATCGAAGAAAACTGGTGAACAAATTGAATTACCAACTGAATCTGAATGGATACATGCATTATGGAATTCATCAGATTGTATACGTTCAGTTCTGATAACAAATAATTGTAATATTGATTTTCATCATCTTCATACATTACCAATTTATTCAAATGATAACGAAGAATTACAATGGCAAGGATCAGCATTTGAATGGATATCGAGTGTTTTTCGACCACTTTCAGGTTATCGAGGTGCTCTACCAACATATCCTGGATATTCTGCTGATTTTTTTGATAATCATCATTTTGTTCTATCGGGTGGATCATTTGCAACTGATGCAACATTAATACAAAGAACATTTCGTAATTGGTATCAAGATACATATCAATATGTATTTGTTACATTTCGATGTGTAAAGCGTATCAATCATATTGATAATAAACTTACTCAAATTGATCATGATGCTATTGTTGCAACATTAAGTAATACAGAACATCGCAAAATATCTTCAAGATATGTTTATGACGCATAAGGTTCAGCAATTTATACACAAATTACTCAATTAGATGAATATTATCCATATGCACAAGAATTAAAACTTTTATATCAACGAGTAAATGATATTAAATCAACAATTATTTATCATTCTAATTTTGAAAATTATTCATCATCAACAATACATTTTATTGAACTTGGTTGTGGTGATGGAAAGAAAGTTGAAGTATTATTAACACCATGGATAAATTCAATTGATGATATATCTCAACATGCTATTGATTCTCTTATTCAACTTCTTAAAAAGACATTCAATGAAAATATTATTGAACAACATATCAAACCAGTATGTTCAACATGCGAAAATATGTACACAAAAATAAATACAGATATAATGGGAATACAAGTTGTCATGTTAATGGATTGTACAATTGGTAATTTTTCATCTTATGATCAAAAAATATTAAATATAGTGAAGATGCACCAGTTATGCAATTACTTCGATTAATTCGTCAAAATTTACGTATTGGTGATTGGTTTATATGTACATTTGATCTATGTAAGAATACAACAACAATGATTCGAGCTTATAATGATTCGAAAGGTGTTACTGCAGCATTCAGTATCAATCTTCTTGCTCGTTTAAATAGTGAACTTAATTTCAATTTTAATTTAAATAACTATCAACATTATGGTTTATTCAATCCATTATATCGACAAATGGAAAGTTGGTTGATTTGTCTTAATCATGAAACAATAACTGATCAACAAGGTTTTACTATGAATTTACAACCATATGATGCTATACAAACAGAATTATCTACTAAATATACACAAGATATTGAATTATTAATGAAGAATAATTCTATGCGAATTATTGAATGTTTTATTACTGATAATCATCAATTTCCATATTGTTTATGTATGGTACAAATGATATAATTCAATTTATACATGTATTCAATTGATACAAGACAATTTACTATTCTTAATTGAGATTTCAATAACTTTCTAATACATAACATAATGAGAAAATATTTAGAAAAAAAAGTTATGTAAAATCTATAAATAAGTTCTATGTTCATTGTAATATTGCGTTTGTTAAAAATAAATTGAAAAAAAAATATAGTCGATACTTCTTGATCGGTTATGTATCAGGGCTCGAAACCGATCGCCCGACCCGGCCCAATGAAACTTTTTTGTGGGACCGAATCGGTCCGACATTTTTTTTTTCAACTTTTTAGTAAACTATATGCTCATTTTAAGAACTCGAAATTATCATGAATGTTTTATGATAGAAAAAGTATCTAAGCTTGAATCCGGTGACTTGAAAAATAAACAAATGCCATTTTGAATGATGAAATGAAAACTCATTTTGATGTATTTCCAAGTTCATTGATTAAAGTGGTCACTTTCATCGATTAAAATCTGTTACTTTAATTCAAAATCACAGTCGTTGCATTTCTTTCTTTAATATGTTGCTTGTAGTCGATGAATTTGAAGTACGTCAAAATTAATGTCCGTTTCATCACCAACAATGCGGTGTGTTTCGTGTTTTTGATATAAATCTCGTGGGTTTTTTTATTGTTGAAGTCTTTGGGAGGTATGACTTATGCAATCAACTCGAATAATTGCTTAACCCAGCCATATTTCTCGTCTACTTGTGAAGTTCTATGTTGCAAAAATGGCATTAATTAACAAGCGGAAATGATTCGCAGAAAAATGTGCCCAAAAATAAGTCGTCACCGAGCATAGGAGCTTTAAATAACACTTTATCTAATCGTTCACTTTTGATTAAGCAGCGAATTCACAGCAAGTTTACCGTTTTCTGAAAAAAAAGGGTAATTCTATGGATTTTGTGCAGGATTCCATAGAAAATTGTTCGCACGATGTTGACGATGTTGTGAGTTCGAGCACAGTAAAACATAGTCTACAGGGTGTTCAGAAAGTAGCAAAACAAAGAAAAGTTTGAATACATATCTCTGTCATATTTTGACCAAATGAGCTGAGATTTTTACCACTGATAAAGGAGTATACATAGCTCATATTTATAAGAGAAATGTTGTCAAAAATTGTTTTGAAGTAGTACAACTAACTTCAACAAAAAACTGTGACCTTGCAAGAGTTATAAAAAATCAATATTACAGTTTTGTCAATGGTTGAAGTTTTCAGAGGATACTAAATAACAAGACATGCATCTGTAGTATAAGTATGAGACAAAACAACACTAGTGTGGAGAAGTAATCAAAAAGATTACATGTCGTTTATTCTTGGCTAAGGGAATAAATACATTGGTTTTTTCATAACTGAGGAAATGTTATAGTTTCCCGTTGAAGTTAGTTGTGCCACTTCAAAACAATTTTTGACGGCGTTTCTCTTATGAATATGAGCTATGTCTACTCCTTTATCAGCGGTAAAAATATCAGCCCATTTAGTCGAAATATGGTCGAGATATGTATTCAAATTTTTCTTTGTTTTGTTATTATCTCCACACCCTATATTAGCGGATCGAAAAATTTTTAAACGATCAAACTGAACGGCTCATCTTCAAACTTTAGGTATCAATAAATTTTTTCTTGTTCACAAATTACTGTTGATCACTAGCTAGCTCACTGTATGGTCACAACAGAAAAAAAAATCTCCACTGAGAAATGCGATGAATTTTCTACGAGTGTAACTTAATTAAGACATGGCACCATAGACGATATCGTGCTACGTAGAATGAGAGTTCTAAAACCTTGAATACTTTTGTTTGTTTCACTTAACAAGAAATTCAAATTCTTGCAGATTAATTTTATTTTTAGTTTCAGGGTCTAAATTAATTAAACTCAAAATAAGGCTGGGTATTTGCTCCCCGCTACATAGACGACTACTGTAATGATCTATAAGTTTTATTGAGAAAACAAATGTGTAAAAAATAGTTTTCATTCGAGCCCGAGCCGAGCCGAGCGGGCCTAGTGAATCCACTGACCCAAGTTGAGCAAAACTTGAGATAGGCCAGGCGGGCCTAAATAACTTCTGTGCCACATCGAACCGGGCCATAAAAATGTGACCCGTTTCGAGTCCTGTTCCATCCGTATCCTGATATTGATCACCAGTTTCATTTTCGTTCTCAGAATCAGAGTACAGATAAGTTATTCTCTTCTTTTTTCGTTATTAATAAGATATCGTGAGGCAGAATGATAAGAATGGCTGATAAAAAGTAAAAGAAATGCGCTGTTTCATAGAATATTAATGAAAAATTCGAAAGAAAAAAAAATAAAACTTAATAATTATTCATCATTGACTTCGTCACAAATCGGGCAAGAATATGATGATTTAGTCTATTTTTATGATAGAATGCACAATCTAGCGACAGACGTTTTTTCACATTTGCATCGTTCATCAACGGGTACATCTTGCAATGCTTGTTCGATATGTTGACCACAGCCTGAAACAAAAAAAAGGAAACGATGGTTTATAATCACTTAATTCGAGTAGGTTGAAAACAGATATCCGATTACCTGCCCATGTGGGCTTACCACATGTAGAACAAGTAGTTTTTCTACACATCTTTTGTAAATCTAAAGAATCGTTCGAATGCGTATATGATAAAGAAAGCTGTACAAAATGACGACGTTATATTTTGATTACACACGTTCTCCGTTTGAAAAATAACTGCAACAGTCGAGAAGGAAAGAAAAAAAAAGTAAATTTGAGTTAATATAAGAGGTATACAAACCATTTTTTTTTCTTTCCTTGCACACATGTCATTAAGAAATAGACAAACACATTCACTTACTGTGTCGAAAATACCTTTTTTTTGCATTGACAACGTTTGTCTGATCATGTGCATACATAATGAGGAGAGCATAGAAGACAAAATAATCTTATTACTCACTATAGTCTAATACAAAAAGAGCAGCTCAGCCGATTTTCGAGGGTATTATACGTCACTCTTAGAAGTTTTTAAGAAATTTCTGGTCACTTAACTAGCAGATTTTAATCAAATAATTGAAACCTATTCTGAAATAGTTCTTTATGTACAGTTAAATTATATTTATCAAGCTTCGTTTGTTTTTTTTTCATAACTTGGAAAAAACATCGAAAACAACATTTATAGTAAGTAAATATCGTTGACATAAATGCTGATTGTACACTATGACAATGTTGAATTTTCTTAATTCGAAATTTACAGTAAAATTTTTATGATTAAGAATCAAATTCAAATTTTCATCAGAGTCTAATCTGGATTCGACTTCACAGTAATACAATAATCAATCACGAATGTTCAACCGTGGTTACGTTGACACTTTCACCTAGAGCGTTACACGCACGCACCACTCTCACCGACCTCGAAAAATGGACTATATGTTCTAAGAGCAGAGGAGTTTGAGTTGATTTGCTGGAAGATATTTAATGTGGGTGAGATACGAGTTTTCAAAGGCAGGAGGCATGCAAACCGATGGTTTTTGTTTGAATAGAATGTTTATTATTTGTTGCAGCAGGGAAGGTAGACCTTATAAAATTGTTGTAGTGAGTTTTTTATGGTAAATTGACAATGTTATGAAAATATATTTGCCTACTTGACGAGATTATCCTAATGTGAAAAAGATATTTCGGACTGGCTATTGTAAAGACATATTTCTGTTTGTGATTGTTGCGATCAGATCCTTGACTAATATTTATTGAAAATTATCACGAAGTCGTTATTAGTAGTCACCAAAGTTTAGAGTTATGCAGATATTTTTAGCTTTTGTTCTTTACTAATTCTCATCTTCTGGCATTGCCGCAAGAATTTTCGTGTTCACTCTGTTCTTTAAAATTCTCAAGTCTTAGAATATATGGTTTATTCTTTGGGTAGCGAAGACATTACTTATTTTTTTGCGTATACCTGAATATATTTCACTTGATTACTCTATAAAATACTCTAACGTTTAGTTTTCAGTACCGAATAATATACTATTGTTATATCTATGAAAATAATAAATGTTAGACATGAACATGTCGTACTAGCGATCTTCGTCCAACTGAATAAATATTTTCTCCGAGTTATCAGCTAAGTGAAATGAATGATATGCTACATCGAATATACTGTGTCAGTACTGAATTTTACTCATTTTGTTATTTATGGTTAAGGACGTAAGCCGATCAGCTAGTCTTCGCGTTAATCGTTATGTTATCTCAATTGGTCGAGTAACATCTCTATTCATGACACTCTTTCTACTAAAGATGATCAATTTAAGTTAGATTTAATGCAAATGATTCGTACAGAGAAAGATATTTGTGTAGAAAAAGAACTCAATCAAATGAATATACAATTGATCATGAAATTTGAAAAAGTTAAGTATGAACATGAACAACAAATATGTGAAGCAGCTTTATATCAAGATCGTAAGATGTTGACCATTATTTATGAAAAGATGAAGATTATTCGCAGTTATCCAGAAATACATGAACCACTGCTTACCATCGAACAAGAACAAAAAGCAATTATGAAACAACATGAAGTTGTCATATAATCCGTATATCCACATGTCTTTATCTGGTACACAAGACATTTCTACATCTCATAGGTTGTCTGTTAGTTGATATTTTTGAGAATTGTAAGAATAAATATTGATTGGTAATTTCTAATAAATCCCATGGCGTAAATTTTTGCGAAAAAAACGCGTTTTTTCATAGCTGCAAAACGCGTTAATCCTGGCCGGTTTAACGCGTTTCACATTTGCTAAAATAAACGTTGCGAAACGATTTTTTCTTAAAATCATTTCGCAGTGTTTCCGAATCTGTGGTATTGCATACTTTGAAGGATAGAAAAAAACAAAACCCGTCAAGTACTTCGTAGAACTCAACTTGCAGGTGCGATCTATATACTGGTTTACATTAATTCATAGAATTATAGAGTTAACTTACATTAGTTTCGATAAAGTTAAGAAGTGGATTCGAACAGGAGAACATAA